CCATAAGCCCCCTGAGCTCCTTCATTATGGCAACCATCATGGTAACTTCTACTTGCAAATTGACACATCTTTTTCTGATAGGCTGTGAGCTCTAGAAGGCAGAGTCTTTACCTATCATATCTATCACCAGAGTAGTATGTAATAGATTTCTCAAACTGGGTAGACCCTGAATTTGTTGGACTCTGGGTGAGCTTTGCTGGGGTGGGATTGGGCTGTGGATAGGTGATGGGGGCATGGATGATCCACTGTCCCCATGGTGGATGTCCCTTCAACACTCACCATTACCAGGTACACCAGTGGCTTCTTATTGCAGGCCTCTGGGACTCCCTGTGGATGGCTTTCTCTGGCCAAGGGCACATGCTTGGTCCATGCATGGGGTAGCCTAGAGGTGGAGCAAGTTAATGCACAAAGAGCATCCTTCCACCATGACAGATAAAAGTTGGTGGGTAAGTGCCCAGGCTTCCATGACCTCAGGTGTGACAAGGCAGGTGTGTCCCAAGCAGTCTCATAGGGGACCTTAGCCAGACTGGGTCCTAGTCTCCCACAACAACTTGTTCAGAGTTATGAACTGAATCGTGTCTCCCCCACCCAAATTTGTAGCTTGAAGCCCTAACCCCCAACGTGTCTGTATTTGGAGATAGGACCTTTAAAGAGGTAATTAAAGTTAAATGAGATAGTAAGGGTGAGGCCCTCATCCAATAAGACTGGAGCCCTTACAAGAAGAGGAAAAGACACCAGGGGCATATGTGCACAGAGAAAAAGGCCACGTGAGGACACAGTGAGAAGTTTCCACCTGTAAACCAAGAAGAGAGGCCTCAAGAGAAACCGACCCTGCCGGCATCTGGATCTTGGACTTCCAGCCTCCAGGACTGAGAAAATGTTTCTGGTTTAAGCCACCCAGTCTGTGGTGTTTTGTTATGGCAGCCCTAGCAGAGGAACACACTCCTTAACGTACATATTCCAGCTTTCCTCTCTTCCTTCTCTCACTAACCTGCTCCCTTACCAATGCTTCCCGGGCTCGCCTCCCAAATAAACTACTTGCACTTGGATCTTTATCTTAGGGTCTGTGTCTGGGGTGATCTAGGCTAATACCCTCATCCATCCTTTATCTAGCAGGACTGCTCACCTTCACAATTCAGGCCGCCACTGGGGGCAGAACAGAGGTAAGACTTTAGAGACCATTGAACTCCAGTTGTCCATGACAGTGATCCTGAACCAATGATGTTCCTTGAAACAGAGGCAGAGATTAACCACCACTGTGCATGCGCAGGGCAGGGCAATGAACAGACCCCAGAGTGACCCCAGCAAGGTGGTGGGGTCATTGTCCAGCGGCTGTGGGGCAGGGCATCTCTTCCGAGGGGAAGGCAGGGTTCAGTGTGATGGAGACATATTTTCAGAGATCCCGAGTGCAGCTTTTGGAAGCAGACAGTGCTGGGCTCTGATCTGAACTTCACCACTTTCTAGCTGGCTGACCTCGGAAAAGTCATTTCCTCTCTCTGAGCCTCACTTCCTTCATCTGCCAGATGAAGATGATGCTGACACTTCCTCAGAGTCAATGTTGGAACAGTGCCGTGGCAGGAAAGTGGTCACGGGTCTGAATTCATTGCATCTGAAGGTAATAATGGGGGGGCTAGGGGGGCAGGGGAATTTTGTAGCTGTGGGGAATTGTTGAAAGGCACATTCTTTCTAGACCACACCGAACTTGCTCTCCTCTGCTATACAAACACATGCCCCTGAATTTGGGGAGCCCCACCTTCACCCCAGGTGAGAATGGCTGCTTTGATTTAGTCAAAATGAAATTTTCTGAGTGAGACTAGGAGCTGCTGGTGCAGGGAACAGCTGTCAGAGAGGAGGTACCCTGGTCTTCTGATAGACATACATAGTTTCTGTCAGTAACAGAGTTGGAGGGCAGACAAAATCTGGCTTTTCCCAGAGCCTGTCATCAGAGTGCTGCAGGTGTAACTGGACAGAGAAGTGGCGCTGGGGGCAGGGGAGGGGCTGTGAACTTACTTCAGGTAACAAGGTGAAGAAGCCCACTTGCTACTGACTCTAGAACCCCCCTGACTACGCTCAGTGGGGCAGTATAAAAAGAAATGAGGAGCAGAGAGATATATATACCCAAAGTAATTGAAAAGAGGAACTTGAACAAACACATGTATACGCATGATCATAACAGCACTATTCACAATAGCCACAGGGTGGAAACAACCCGTGTGTCATCAACAGATGAACAGATAAACAAACTGTGTCCATACAATGGAATATTACCCAGTCATAAAAGGAAAGAAGTGCTGATCCATGCTACAATGTGGTTGAACACGATGCTAAGTGAAAGAAGCCGGCACAAAAGGTCACATGTTGTATGATTTCATATAATGGAATGGACGAGAAAATGGGGAGTAACTGCTTAAGGGTGTGGAGTATTGTTTTGGGGTGATAGAAATGTCTAGGAACTAGGTAGAACTGGTGGTTGCACAACGTGGTAAATGTACTAAATGTCACTGAATTGTACACTTTAAAATGGTTAGTTTTATGTGATGTGAGTTTTGCTTCCATTAAAAAACCAGAGGCACAGTGGGGGGAATAAGTGTTTAATCAGAGGCATCCAGAGGGTTGATAACAGAGTTGCAACTGGAACCCTGGACTCCTGGGCCACCCTTGTTTCTCCAGAGGCTACTCTAGGTGCAAGGAGAGAAGGGATTCAGGTTCCCCTTTCCTGGACATATTGCCAGTGTCAGAATTCCCCTGGAAATCTTGGGCTGTGAGGCGATGTCATGAGCTCAATGAACAGACATCCTTGGAGCCAGGCTTCCTCATGGGACTAGGGAGGTCCAGCTTGAAGGAGCAAACTTTATTCTGAAGGACATCTTCCGAAGTGTCTGATGGCACCTCCTTCTGTTGCCATGGCAACCTACCCTCCATGATAAGTAGCTCAGGTCATTTTCAAGCGAGGTAGAAGGGGGAATGTTGATATGTCTCTTCAGCATGCTCTTATCTACACATGGGTTCTTGGGGCCCAAGTTAGCCCCATAAATGACTTTTGGGAGACTGGAGCTTTTGGCTGGAAGATGACACTTGCCATCTTGGGGCATGCTCTTCCATATCCTGGGAAAACCTACAAAATAAGGTGAGGGTCAGAGTTACATTGATGGAGAGATAGAAAGAATGCCAGCTCTAGGTCTCAAATTAGACATGTCTCTCGAAGGAGGTCATGGCAGTATCCCAAGACTAAAGAAGATGAAGGAAGTCACTAAACATCTCTTACCCTCCCTAGGAGAATGGAGGATGCTGCAAAAGCGTTTGCTTATCACAAAGGCACTCAACAGATGAAAAAAGGAGGGCAAAGGACCAGTGAATCCCCCAGGAGAGCCAGTTTGGTCTGCCCCGTGATAAAGAAATGCACCGTGTTAGAGAATCAGGGACAGAGGACAGCCAGGCAGGTGTCTGCTGCATGTGGGGTCTGCCCCTCCTTGCATTCCTCAGTTTATGGCTCACCCCAAGTCCATCTGAGTTAGACATGGTCTGTTTGCACTGAGCCCACAGTACCTTATAGTGGCCATGTTTTTGGCCTCCCTGCTTGCCTGGAAGATTCTCTAGAATCAAAGATGCTTGGAAACAGGATCAAGGACTCATTATTGCTCATCAAGAAGCTCCAGGGTATAGGGGAAGTGTTGCAAGTTTGGAGGCAAGCAAGTGGTTTGATTTTTTTTCCAAATGGATATTGGAAATGATGGGCCAATAAGTGGGATAATTTGGGAACAGATTATGAAACAGCTGGCTTGGGAATACTTAAACAAGAAAGTTGTGATCCCTGAGTATTCCCTTTGTTCATTTAGAACATGTCATGCCAAACCCCATTACCACTTTTGTATGTAGTCTAGGCAGACTAGACTGGTGAACTAGGGGAAAGCCGTAAGACCTGGGTGATGACCAGTGTGGCTTTGTAGTCTAGGCGATGCTGTGACCACACCCTGTCTTGCCTTTTCTCTAACTGTGCCACATGCGTCTTATCTCCCTGTCAGGACTGTCTCTTGGCTCTGCCAGGGTGGAGACACTCTGAAGCCTCCCTAGGACCTTCAAGCTTCCTGCAGTGGTCTTGGGCTGGGCCCACTGGAAATAGGTTATAAGTTTGTTGAATTTTGAGTTTGTATTTTCTGAAAACAAGAGCTGGGGCGGTGGGGATGGGGGGGCAGCAGAAGATGTGTAGTATAGAGGACAGCTAGTAAAGTTGGAACCTGAAGGGGTGGGCTCAAATCTCTGAGCCTTTTTATCAGAGCAATGAAGATGATAAACAGTATACACAGACATGCGAAAATTAAAGGGGATGGCAGTCTAATAATGAAAATATATTTTGAGCCCTTACCAAGTGCCAGGCACTGTGCTAAGCCCCTCTCCCTCATTTAACCCACACAATCCTACCATGAAGATTTTATTATTTGCCTCTACTTTACAGACTAGTAACAGAGTCTCAGGAAGGGTTTGTAGCTTGCCTAAGGTCACATTTGGTCAGGGCCATGGACAGAGCTGAAACTTAAACCGAGGACAGTCTGGTTCTAGAGGTCACTGGAATGTTCTAGCACAGTGATTCTCCAGCTTGAATATGCATCAGAAGTTCTTGGTGGGCTTGCCGAAACATAGATCTCTGGGTCCCACCCCGGAATTTTCAATTCAGTAGTTGAGTGGGGGGGAGGAAGGGGGCTAAGAATTTGCTGTAGAACCACTGCTTTAAGATCACTTTCTAGCATCCCTGCTGAGAAAGTAGAAGGTACTAAGAAGAGGCAGTTAAAAATAATAAAACACCAAACCTATAAATGTTGTTAGACCAGATGGTGGAAAGGCATGAAGTCACAGACACGGGTTCAAACTTTGCCTGTCCATAAGCATGTGACTATCTCGCAGGTTTAACTGAGAGGCGGGTTGAGCACTCCCAGGCCAGCCTCTTCTGTCCTCTTCCGCTGGGATTCAGACCTCTCCAGCCCTGAGCTCCCCGCGGCCAAGGCCAGCCGGGCAAGCGTTGCCATGGCAGCGCTGCGGGCTGGGATGCAGGAAGCTGAGCGCGCCGCCCAGCTCGCCCCTTTGTGCGGCGGAGGCGGCGGTGCGTTCTCCCCACTCCCGCTGTACCCCGCCTCCCCCGCCCGGACTGCGCGGCCGGGATAAGGAGGTAGAGTGTGGGGTTGCAGGGGCGCGGGGAGGCGGGAGGAGGGCGAGGCGAGGGCCAGGGGTGGGGCGCCTCCGCCCGCCAGCCGCTCCCGCATTAAAATTTCATGGGCGCTGCAGCAGCTACAAAGACGACGCCGGCTGCGCTCGGGGGACCAGAGGGAGGGAGGCTGCGGACGAGTGAGGGAGGCGTTTGTGATGGGAGGCGTTTGCAGGGGCTCCCCCAGTTCTGCGCTGTGAGCCGGGGCACAAAGAGCCCTCTGCACTAGCGCCGCAGGACCGCGGACCGGAGGTAAGCAGCTGTCCCCATCCTAGCGGCCCTCCCTCCCCAAGTGTTCTTGTCCCTGCGCGCGGAACAGCCTGCTTCCTTGAGGGTGGGTCCCAGAGTCCCAGGGCAGGGTTCAGGGGATGGCAAACGCTGCCTGAAGCGCCCCGCATTTGATGGATGAAGAGGCTGTCCAGCCTGCAATTGTCAAATGCAGACAGTACTCTGGCCCGCATGGGACGCGGGGAAGGGGAAGGGGACTGTGTGCCGGGAGTGCACTGCGGTTGGGGGTCTTGCAGTCATGATGTGAGGGGAAACAAAGACCCTTCCTTTCCCCGGCTACCAGACAGACATGGCGGGGGGGGGGGCGGGGGACGGATCCTGGACCTTCTCTGCCCACCGGGTCCGCAGTTAATTGGCCAAGCCGTGAACAGAGGCCAGCTGGTCTCAGAACTGGGGGTGTGGTGGGGGTGCGGAGGAGGGGCGGGGTCTTTGAGCTCCCCTTCCCGAGTATCCAGCTCACCCCGTAGCGCCTGCCATTCCTTCACTTTTGGGACTCAAATCCCAGATGTCCGCCATCTAGTGTGGCTCCAAAAGGATGGAGAGAGCCGGTAAGCCACCTCGTTGAGAAAAATAATGACATTGATAATGGCAATGATAATACATCAGTTTATGGAGAGGTTACCCTATGCCAGGGACCCGCTTAGGGCTTTGCATGCATTATTACAACAGTCCCACGAGGTGGTAAGAACCCCATTTTAAAGATGAGGAAATGGAGATCCAGAGAGGGTTAGCGACACATCCAAGGTCACACAGTCAGTGATTTTAAATCCAGATATGTAGCACTGTAAAGCCCATGTTGCATCCCCAAAAGGGTCTGGGGAGACCCCCAAATCCACCAGCTCGGCTCCCCACCTCTCCTTGGCTGGGAACATGGGAGGGAAGGGCCCACACCTTTCCTTCCCTCCAGCGGAGGGCCCTGGGGGAGAGAAATTGACTCTAGGGAGACCCCCGGGGGCCCTGAATTCTCCACTGTCATTCCAGACTCCACACCAGAAGCTGCCGTGCGCCAGTGATTGCTGGCGCTCACACCCCACTGCAGTGCCTCGGCGGGAAAAACGCCCCCACCTGCCGGGGGAGGAGGGGAGTAAGGGAGGGAGGGCAGCGAGAGAATTTGCGGGAAGCGGCTTTTGTTTTTCTCGGTGCCAACCTCGGACTGAGCGCAGCCTAGAGCAGAACACTCGCTCTGGACACAGCGGTTTGCTTTCCAAAGCGCATTCCCATTTGGGAGCGTGTGGGAGCGTCGCGATCGCCCGGGAAGGGGGGCGGGGAGGAGACGCAGGGTAGGGTTGAGTAATTCCACTTGACGTACGGGGAAACCTGAGGACGCTGGTTTTCAGATTTTAGGGGCGTTGCTTCAGATACGCAGATGTCCGGGCCACGTGGCCCGGGGGATGAGTCAGCAGGTTTGGGGTGGGGCTGGGCATCTGAGTGTTTACTCTGACCTCCTCCTCCTCATGATCATGCAGACCAGACCATAGGTTGAGGGAACAGTCGTTGCACCCCCAACCCCCCACCTCCACCCCAGAACCATGTAGCCAGCAGTCACGGCAGGACGGTTCCACGGGGGCACTTTCCTAGCTCGAACTCATCCCGCACTGAGTTTGGTTGATTTCATGTTGAAAGAATTTTTATGTTAAACCCTTCCATGTCCCGTCCCCGCCCCCCGAGGCCCACCTATTCCTGTTTTATTTAATGACCCTTGCCGTTGAGAATGGTTCTGAAATCTAACCTACATCCTTCTTGCTGCATTTTTAGCTTCTGAATTTATTTACACTTCTGAATTTATTCATCGAAGAATATGCTGTGTGATGGAAAGAGAAGGGGTTGAGAGTCATATAGATCTGTGTGTGAAGCTTTCTTCCTACCCTACGTCAGCTTCTGTAAGGAAGTCATTTCTCTTCTGTGAGCCTCAGTCTCCTCATCTATAAAGTGCAAGTCATAATCCCGGCTTTACAAGGCCGTCATGAGGCTATGAAATAGTGTGTGTAGAGTGCCTGACACCTGTAGGTGCTTAATAAAGGTAGTTGATGCTATAGTGCAGCCACTGGGGTGCCAGCTGAGTTCACTTACATGGCACCTGAGTCTTGTATTGAGCCTTAGTTATTTGCTTTTATTTCTGTTGGAGCTGTTGGTTCCTCTCCTGGGTGATCCTCGGGCTGTTTGAGCAGAGTGTTTCTGGGGCATTGGGTCCATTGTGTAGGTTCAATGGGCTGGTGAATAACTTATAGGCTAGTCCTTTGTTCCAGGGGGATCCCTCCTCTTGCCTCTGAGGCCTGGCTCATCTGTCAGCTTCAGCTCCATGGAACAATAGCCAGAGATTCTCAGTGGCAGAGGCAAAGTCTGGCTGAGGGTGACATCTGTCTCCCCATCCCTTTAACACACTGATCAGATCAGATGAGGCAGGTGTCCCCTTCTCCCTGTAGTGCCAGGTGGGCCCCTCTTTAAGCTACTGGATGAGTCATGGAAGGGGGGAGGGGCTGAACTATTGTGGAATCAAGGTGTAGAGGAGATGATGAATGTAACCAATGCCAGCTACCTATCCTTTAGTAGCCATTTACCAAGGCTCTTGTGTGCTGCCTCATGGAGACCTCATGATCTCTGATTGGAGACCCCAAGAGATTTCTGAGTAGCCATTTTATTTTGGAGTCAGAGAAAAAGACCAAAAACCCACAGGGATCCTAAAATGCAACCAATGTATGTTTCCCTGGTATATGTTTATTCATTACCAGAAACAGTGCACACAGTTTCAGGGGGAAAATGAAGATCAGATGGATGGTGTAATGAGCAGTATGGGCGGGCAATAGTAATAATAATAACAATGTAAGAAAATAGTAGAATTTGAGCTAATAGGTAATAATTATCATCTCAATTAATGCTCACAACAGCCTTGTGAGGCAGGTACTTTTATTATCCCCATTTCATGGATTGGAAGACTGAGCTCAGCGTGGCAATGGACTTGCTCAAGGGTCACACAGTCAGCCTGTGGCAGAGTAGGATGGCAATCCATTCCATAAAGCCCATGTCCTTTCCAATGTATTGAGATATTTTGGTTGACACTGGACTGACCAAAATACCTTCCAGTTTCCTGTGTTGCTTTTGATCTGCATCAAGGAGATCGGTTTTGGCAAATGCTGTGATTTGAAATAGAACCCTGGAATTTATTCCCCAATTTGCCCACAGGTATGTATTTATTCTCTCTTTCCTTTCTCTTTCTCTCTTGATGACAGCTAGAGGCACCTCCCTGCCTACCCATATGGTTCCAGACACGTTCATGTGGCTGCCATGACCCCAACGGCATCAAAGGAGTAACCAAGGTGATCCTCTCTTTTCTTCTGTGTACACTGGGGGTGTTAGAAACCAACTTCATGTGATGAGGTCAGGTCCACCACGAAATCCGTATATGCTGAGACCTGAATCTCAGAGGTAGGAGAGTCCTCTGATGAACCTGTGGGTTCCAGTCCCTCAATCACTGCTACGCTGCTGGTCTCCTTGACCTTGGCTTGAAGCGGAGGGTCCTTGTGGCCTAGTGAGAGCTGAGAAGCTGGGGCCCTGGCGCCCACCAAAAGGTCTCTGTACGGTCTTTGATGTGGCACTTCTAAGTTCTAGTCTTCTTTCATCACCTATAAACAAGCTTTGAAAAAATAACCTTATGAAGGTGTAATTTACATATATGAAAATGTGTTTTAACAAATGTATACACCTGTGTGATCATCACCATAATCAACATATAAAACATTTTCGTCACCCTAAAATATTTCCGTGTCCCTTTCCTGCCAGTCCACTCCAAGCTCCAGGAAACCACTCATCTGCTTTCTATAACTATAAATTAAATTTGTTTTTTTCTAAAGTTGCATACATATGGAATCCTCTGGTTTGGCTTCCTTTGCTCAGCATGATGTTTTTGAGGTTCATCCTTGTTGTTGCAAGTCTCAGTAGTTCAATCCTTTTTTTGTCCAACTTTATTAAGGCACAGTTTAAATATCATATAACTTGCCTATTTAAAGTGTACAATTTAGTGCTCTTTAGTAAATTTACCAAGTTGCGCAACCATCGCTGTAAGCCAGTTGTTAGCTTTGCACTGCCCTGGTAAGATCCTTCATACCCGTTTACTGTTAGTCTGCATTTCACTCCTAATCCCAGACAACCACTAATCTATTTTTGATCTCTATAGATTTTCCTTTTCTGAATGTTCTGTATAAATGGAATCATACATATGTGTTCTGTTGTGCCTGTCTTTCAAGGAGCATAATGTGTTTGCGGTTCATTCATGTTGCAGTATGTATCAATAGTTTGTTTCTTTCAATGGCTGAGTGGAGTCCTTTGTGTGGATGTGCTACAATCTGTTTATCCATTCACCAAGACTGGAGATTTTAATTTGCTCTGTGCTTTCTAACTGGGGTATATACACCCCCTACCCTGGGGCATATAATGCCACAGGATAAATACGGCCCATATTTCTGGAACATAAGTCTTACATCAAGATTTATTCAAAGTTTAAATCATTGATTGGTGGAAATAATTTTTGAAACACTGTGTGCCAGGCACTGGCTAAGCTTTGAAAATAATTAATCTTGAGTCACACGATGAATATGTGGGGTTTGAGGGGGATAGTCTCATCCAGGTTTGTCTGGCCCCAAAGCCCAAGTCTTCCTTTCTGACCTTTAAGAGAGTGTCAGTTTGACATAGGAGCTAAAGTTCCCTTGAAACCTCCATTGCTTTATTAATATCAGGGATTCTGGGCTCACAGAGCCAGGGGAAGGGGTCAAGCAATACTCCCTGAGCATCCCAAGGTCTATTTACAGAGTATAACAAGTCCTGGGAAAGAGAAGAGAGAAGGAAATTTCCAGGTTCCTCAAGACATTACCACCAACAATGTTGCAGATAAGTATTCAAACTTACCAGCCCACAGCCTACCTGCCTGCCCTGTCCTGGTCTGTGCAGGAAAGTGTAGTGTCCTGGGATCCCAAAGTGAGAGGGGAAATTGTTGACACAGTTTATTTGCTTTTCTATCTCTATGCCAGAAAGAAAGAGCTTGTCCCCATTTTATGGGGTGCCAGAAAAGGTGATTTTCACACCCCACTTTTGTCATCAGGGCTAGTATTTTATAAACTCCACTGTCAGGAACTTTTGTATAGCTGAGTTAAGTGACTTCATCTTGTGTACCTGTAGATCTGGTATTGAAAGGGCGCTGGCTGGGGGCTCCCTGGTGACTTGGACTGGCCCTTTCAGCTCCGGCCTTTTGTGATCATATTTATAAAACCCTGGCCAGGGCTCCTTGGCCTTACAGTCAAGGTGGGACCTCAGTATTGTGCCTGTAGGACACATTCTTCTGAGTACATTCTGCCTGTAGTACACAGTTTGAGTACATCTACAGCTCTGGACCTATGCCCCGAGTCTCAGGTGCTGACTGCAAGGTCTGATAATGTGCCGAGAGGGTCCCCTGACTCACCTGGCTCAGGTGTGCCAGCTGATGAAGATAGCAGAGCTGTTACCAAAAGTCAAATCTGGGAGATGGTTCTGGGTCAGGACACAGGTAGTCTTCTTCAGACTGGCAACACAGGGTGGTCTTAAAAGAGCCCTACCCCACCCTCTGACTCCCCAAGTTTCCTCTGCTGTATAGGTCATCAGAAAAGGGCAGAAGAAAACAAGTTGGGGGGGAGGGGGAAGGGGAAGCAGAAAAATAACTGAGGCTGGGCAGAAGGGCCCCTCCTGTTTCTCATCCATTGCCTAAAGCAACAGGTTTCTATCGTGCACTTGGGGCGAATGTCAGGGCTGGAAGGGTCCCAGGGCCCAGAGAGAGGGACCGGCTTCCCATGGCCACACAGTGTGGCAGGGGCAGAGCTGGGATCAGAATTACAGACTCCTGACTCTCCGTTCAGTGCTCCACTTAGCTGTCACCAAGCTGCCCAGTTTGTCCTGCTTTCTTCTGGGTTACTTTCTGCTGTTACACAACAGCGAGGTAGGTGAAGAGAGCCCACCTCCTTCCCCCTACACGCTCTCAGGGTGTTCTGGGCGGGAGGAAGGGAGGTGGAGGGTGGTGTGTCCAGGCCCAGCTTCCCTGACTCCCAGGCCTTCTTCTCTTCAGCAGAGAGTTCTGGCCAGGCCCGGGCCTGGGGAGGGGGCCTGGGTGCGGTTTTCTCCTGCGGCGTGGTTGGCTCTTTTGTCTTCCAGGATGGGCCTGTGGGGTCTATGTGGGGAAGGAGCTGGATGCTGTCAGGTAAGCCTGGGTGGGTGGGTCGGGGGAGGGAGGTGGCATTGAGCTTAGTTTCATGGGGGTAGACTGTCCTCCCACTCACGTCCCCTCCCCAGGCCCCAGCCTGGCTAGAACACTGGTGCTTGTGAGAAGAGAGCCCGGAGCCAGGTGGCTAGAAGGCTTGTTCTGTGTGACGAGGTGGGGGTAGGTGGGCTCACGGCACAGATGTTAGCACATTTCTTCATTCAGCACAGACAGGGACCAAGCACCTTCTTGGAGCCAGACGCTGGATCTGAGGTGAACACTGGATACAGGGTCCCATCCTCTCAGATCTTCATGTAAGAACTTGCTTTATCACAGAGATGGGGGCTCCCCGCCCTGGGAGGGATGGGTGTATGTGTGTGTATGTAGGGGGTGGCGTGCAGAGGGCCTCTCAGAGGGAATACTGTAAAGGGACTTCAAGCCCCCGAGGACTCGGAAGGCCCTTTCTGTCCACCCAAACCCTTGGCTCTTCTCTGCCTACAGTGCTCTTGGGGCTTGCTAGGGGCTCCCTTTACTGCTTTCCCCCGTCCCCTGAGCTGACCCAGCCCAGGCAGGACACTCAGAACTTGTATCACTTCCCCTCTATTCCTAAGTTTCTTCTACAAGCTTTGGTGTCCTAAGCCCTTAGCCACTGTGTGTGGGTTTGGGGGCACGAGAGGGGGTATGGGGCCTGGGGATGGAGGCTGTGGCCTTATCCTCACTTGTCCTGTCTCCCCCAGCTGGCTCTGCCCTGGATGCATCTCCAAGACTCCTGGCCTGGTCTTTTCTTTGAAGCCCGAGTGACTCTGGACTCTGGCTGCAGTGACCCAGGGAGCAGTCTTTGATGATTTATCTGGAACCCTGGCGGTCCTCTGAAGACCTCATCCTTCCCAACTCTTGGGATGAAGCCTCCCGTGGATAAGAACCCTCACTGGTAGACATTCAGCAGAGGACTGGACGTGGCTCTGGAGGACAGCTCAAGGGGTATGAGGGAGGCCTGGCAGCCCACCGCCCCCTCCCCTCCCGCCGGACCCTGCCTGCTGGGCCCTGTTGCCTGGGGCTGGAGGCTGCTTCCTGACCCTGTGTGGACCTGACTCCTCCTCACATCCCTGTTGGTGACCGGACAGAGCTCGGCCTGGGCCTAGGCCCTGCTGGCCACACCCTCCCCAAGGCCGGGTCGCAGAGAACCCTACAGATGGAGGCGGGAACAGGGGTGGGAGCTCCTGGGGGGGCTTCTGGCTGGAGACTGTCTTTCTTCTGCCATTTGCCCTGTGAGCAATTGCCATTTTGTGGGGGCTTCCTGCCATTTTTGTGGGGACTTTTCCATGCTTCTCTCCTTGGCAGTTACAGGGAGGAGGCAGTCAGGGCCTGGGAGGAGCTCAGGTCTTACCCCAGTGTTGTCAAGCTGGGGGGTGGGTGGGCAGGGAGCTAGAGGGGCAGAGGGGGCACTATCCTGAAAAGAGAGGGTTTCAAAGAGCTGGGGAGACCTAGGCCAGGGAAACACATTAGAAAGAGACAGATAGCTTGGGTCTTATTCCTGCTATTGAAAGGGAACCAACCTTATCTGAAGGCTTGAAGGGTCACCTGAGTCCAATCTCAGGACACTCTGCCCCAAGCAGACCCTTGCCCCTTCTTATGTGGCTCCTGCATTCTGTCCTTGGGGAGCAGAGGCTGGCAGGACAGCTCCCCACGTCCACCTCCCATGTGCAGCTGCCCCCCACGCTCACTCTCCACTCTGCACCTCTCCTTAGTGTCCCCTCCAGAGGGCAGCTTATAGCCTTCCTTAGGCAAGTTTAAAAGCCCAATGTTCTTTTCCCAGGGTGGGCAGGTGGTGTGTATTCCTCTGCTAGGTCCACCATAACAGAATCCCACTGACTGGGGGGCTTAAACACCAGAAATTTATTTTCTCACAGTTCTGGAGGCTGGAAGTCCAAGATCAAGGTGCAAAGGTTGGTTTCTGGTGAGGCGTCTCTGCTTGGCTTGCAGATGGTATCTTCTTGCTGTGTCCTCACATGGCCTTTTCTCTGTAGGGAGAGGGAGAGAGAGAGAGAGAGAGAGAGAGAGACCATATGCTCTGGTGTCTCTTCCTCTTCTTATAAGGACACCAGTCCAATCAAATTAGAGCCCTACCCTTATGACCTCTTTTAACCTTAATCCTTTAAAGGCCCTATCTTCAAATATAGTCACATAGGAAGTTAGAGTTTCAACCTATGAATTTTTAGGAAGACAAAATTCAGTTCATAACAGGGTGGTCACCACAAACATGGAAAGCTGGAGCTATTTCCCCTTCAGAATTCCCACCCCCACAGGGAGGGGGAGGAGGAGCAGAGGTGTGGGAAGCAGACGCAGAATGGCAGGTACTGTGCTAGGGTGGGCTGGGGGTGCTTTGGGGACATATGGCACTGGCTGGACCCAGTGCGGAGAGGAGGATCCCCTAGGAAAGTAAAGTCCTGGGGAGAGCCAGGGCTTTGAAGCCGGAGCAGGTCTCAGGTGCATATCTGCTGTAGTCTTGGGCAGCTCACTTCACCTCTGAGCCTTGACTTCCACTCTGCGAGATGGGAGCCACATGCTTGCCTGGTGGGCGCAGGGAGGATTCAGTGAGATCACGTACCTAGCACAGTGCCTGATTCTTAGTAGGTGCTCAGTAAATGCTCCCACCCATCTGGGAGTTTAGATTTAGGGTTTATCTGTTTTTGGCTGTTTGGACTACAAAACTCAGCATCTTCTGATCCAGGGGCTTTTCTGCCTAGCCTTTCCCCTCCTGTTTTCCTGATATCCCTCTCTAATAAGCTTGGGGAAGTGGCCGCATTTCCTGGCTTCTGTAGTAACTCACAATGCTTCCTGGGGTCTTCAAATTATACTCCTCTCATTAGAACTGAGCACCTACTTCAGGCCCTTTCCTGTGCTAGCCACTTGGGGTGGGCTGGGGGTGGGGTATAGGTGATCCGGCCATGGTTCAAACCTTTAGGATTTCACAGCAAAGCCAGGCCAGCTCATATGAAGAATTGGAGAACGGGGCAGTATCATAAAATAGTCTACTGAGACCCAGGTTCTGAGTGCTTGGAGGGTGGGAGTGCGCCCCTAGAGAGGGCTGCAGCAGTCTGGAGAGGTTTTCTAGCAAAGCCGAACCAACCAGGACCTCGAAGGATGAGAAAGAAGTGGCTTAGCTGATAGCTTTTAGGGGGAAATTAGAACAGAGATTCCCCAAAGTAAATTCTAGGAGATGTTATTGCTCTTTCATAAAACAAACAAACAAGCAAACAAATTCAGCAGGTTTCTGTAACGCAGGACTTATTAGAGCCTTTAAAACACTAATGGAAATTTTGAATACTCAGGGACAGGACAGAGGAGGAAGTGTTCCCTGACTTTTTTGGCTGCAGAATCTTTTGGTTGCAGAGCATCATTTGGAATTATGGGAGATGCTAGGCTGGGGTTTCTGTGGGAAAAATACAGTGGTGATAGGAGACAGCACAACTAGGGTACACTCAGGTGCTTTGTTCCATTGTCTGCAAAGGAAGCAGACCAGGAAGGATTGGGGAATCTGAACTTAGTATCAGGAGTCTGGCCAGCTTGATGCAGTTTTTGTGTTGAGGGGAGGGCAGGCCAGTTGTTGGGGCAGCTAGGGCCTGGCAGATGGTGGTGGGAGAGATATCCCCTGAGCATGGTGGCTCTAGGGGATCAGATCTTTTGTGGAAAGAAGCAGGTCTGTGCGTGTGTACTCTAGTGATAGGATCCAGCCCTCTGGGGAGGGGATGACCAGAACCAGGTAGGGGGTTTCCTCCCATGACAAGGAAGGTCCTTCTTCAGGGGAGCTGAAGTGTTTGGGAGGTGGGGAGGCTCTGAGACCCACAGCCAAGAAATAGTGAAGCAAAATGTTTCTGGCAGGGGTCCATGAGGTTAGGCTTGATTCTGGTGGAGCTGAGGGGTTTAGAGGCAGACCCCCTGCCCTGGTCAGACCCTGCTCCAGGGCTGGTGGGGGTGAGAGGCCTGTGGGGCTGCAGCTCGAGGGGCCGGGGCAGTGTTGCATGGTGTGATTAACCTACTAACCCAGGGCTCGGCCGGGACGCTGTGGTGTGTGACGGGGTGCCTGGCCTTCTGCCAACCAACTAACCCACTAACCAGGCCCGAGCATGCCCTACTAACCACCCTGCAGCCAGACCCTACTAACCGTGCAGCTGATGGGCATTTCAAGGGGCTGGGACGTTGGGGCAGATGAGGCTCCAGAAGTCCCTGTCTGTGGGCTGGGATCTCTGTGCAGACTCACATTCCAGGACAGGGCATGCAAAGAAGACTCATCAACTCTGCTACTTCCGTTGGTGACTTTGAGCAAGTCGCCTCCCTTCTTTGAACCCCAGTTCCCTCAGTGCTTAAATGGGTGTACTGATACTTACCTCACACGTTGCAGTGAGGAGTCCCATGAATATAAAGGTCTTGACCCATGGCAGATACTTTAAAAAAAAAAAAGGATGGTGGTGGGGGTGGGAAGCCCAGAAAACCTGGTTGATCACACCCCTGCCTGGGCTCTGGTCTCTGGGTGTTCTGCACACAGAACCTTCTGCCTGGGGCCAGATACTTGCTTTGAATCCCTAACTGTCTCTTCCCCCTATTCTTCCTCTTTCCCAGCTTTCTTTTCCATAGGCAGCTCTTTTGTTCGATTACTAACCTGTCTAACCTGAGGGTGCCTCCATTGCACCCCAACCATCCCTTAACCAACTAACGGACCTGTGTGCCTTCTTCCTTTTCTCCTAGCGACTCCTGCGTGTGTCTGCTGAGGTGCCCCTGTCCGCTGGTGCTGTGCGCTGACTTACTAACCCAGCCCCTACTAACCCTGTTTTCTCTTCTTACTAACCCCAGCCCTGCCGAGCTCTGGGCCCCCCTGGGGGCTGGTCCCCCCCTCCTTTTGGCAAGCAGATGTTCTGGGGCTGGCCCTGCAGACAGACTGTTCACTTTGCTGCCCCACATTGGCTGGTTGTGAGATCAGAGTCCACTGGGCCAGGTCTATGTCAGGGGACGGCCCTATGAACAACAGAGGAGGAGGAGCTGGGCCTGTGGATGTGGAAGGCTGGACTCTGAACATGACATCTCCTCTGTGCAGAAGTCTGGTTGCCACTGGGAGTGGGCGGGACCAGGGAAGCCTCTGGTGTGTGAGTGTGGAGCTCTGGGCTCTTCCCAGCCAAGGGAAAGAGAGAGGGGGCCTGGTGTCCCACTCGAGACGGAAGCGAGGTAGAATTTTTGCCACTGTTACATGACTGGGACGGGAGCTGTCCTCACGGGAAGTCAGGAGCAGGGCGTGTCCTGCCCTGGAAATCAGCTGAGGCCTGTCTCACACCGGAAGTCAGTAAGCCGAGACTTCCCTACATCGGAAGTCAAGGAAAGGAGCCCATACCACGCTGAAAATCACTGAGTGGAGCATTTAGTGCACAGCCAGTCAGCCAGAGGGGCCTTCCCCATATTCGAAGGCCGGGACGAGGGGTATTTCTGATGCCAGGAGTCAGTGAGAGAGGATTCCTCACCACAAAACTTGAAAAGGAATGGCCAACAACCAAGGAGAGGGCCCTTTTCTTACACAGGAGGTCGGCTAGAGGGGCCCTTTCCACACGTGGAGCTGGGAGAGGCGGGTTTCCTACACCGGAAGTAGACGTGCGGCCCTTTTTCCATACCGGAAGTAATTGAGAAAGACCTGTCCCTCACCTGGAAGCTAGAGGGCGGTAGTTGGCATGCTGAAAAGGTAAGGGAGGAAACTTCTCTACCCCGAGCTAGGAGTTTGCAGGAGGAGGAAGTGGGGAACAGGAAACGAACCCTAGGAGCCCACAGATTTCCTCAGGCTGGACAGGGATAAATTTCTGGCTCCCTGTCCTGTTCCCATCCACACCCGAACCCAGCCCACCTCCCCCAGAGCCCGCCAGTCGCTAAGCCAGGGCCACACCTGGGGGTGATTTCATGCCTCACCTCCAGTAGGCACCTTGGTCTCTTTGGGCTAATCTCTGGCTTCCTCGCACTAACTCTTGCTCTCACCCAGCTAATCCCTGCCTCGCCCTGGCTGCCCCAGGGGCTGACCACTAACAGCCAACCCTGCCCATCTGGGGGCGCCAGGCTCCTGGCCTGGCTCTTATCTGCTCTTAATTAACCTTTCCTTCACCTTCGCTAACTCCTGCCCTCCTGGTCTGTTTCTTTCAGCAGAAACTAACGGCTTGTGGATTTCTTTCTGACTAACAACAGGTCTAACACTACTTGTTATTACTATTAACAGCTTGGATATGGCATGGATGGGGTGG